TATAGAAGATTCAGGTCTAAAGGCGGGTGTTTCTCAACTATTAGAAGACGCTGAACTAAAGTACCATATGCATACTATCGAGGAATAGAATAGAAATTCCTGAAACGAATTACTTTTAAAAAATAATTTTCAACAGCAAAATGGTGGCTTCCAGGCTGCTTTCTCCCCTCTTAATCAATTATTTAATTATAAGTACCAACTTTATAGAGGTCGGGTATGCCCCAAGGGGTCTCAAGGCCCAATATCGATGTTGTCATCAATATTAATATCGGTCTATAACTATATAACTAACTATCTATACCATCATAATACCGGATTTAAAATATCGACAGTCGATATTTTCATCGATATTATAAACATTTTAAAAATATTAATATCGATATAAATATTGATTCTCTAACACCTAGAGGCGTCAAGCAATATGTTATATTCCTCTTTAAATTAATTAATGAAAATATCAATTCTCCTACTCTCCTTAGTAAAATTAATTTTCTATTTTCTGTCCATCTTTAACTTTTCCAGAAATTTTCATTCAACTTATCATGCTTTCCATTCATCCAAAGATCGGATTCAGCGAAATGATGTTTTATTTGTATCCTACATATATTTCATTGACAATTCGTGGCCTTGGTTTGAGATGGTTCTAACTAGCAAATATGGGTAAATTGAGTTTACTGAATGAGAACGGTCCCACATGCGCTATCGATATTATCGAAATATCGGTATTTTTCTCTACTACGCACTACATTCTATATGAAACAATCAAGATGAGTATTTTTTTTTTTCTAACGATCAAATTCATATATGTAATTCCTAGCGCTTTCCGAAAATGATAGTTGTTTTAATTTTGATTTTTAATCTACAATATCGAAGGATCGAAAAGGATAGTCGATAATATCGGAATAGATAGTATCGATTAGTGTTGCCAAATGCGAGACAGAGACGAGTCTTGGTCTTGCAAACTCAGTCTTGGTCATGGTCTTGGTCTTGGGCAGTTATTTATTAGCTTATTACTATAGAGATATTACTGCTATTTTTTAGATAGGATAAATCTAACTAAGCCCGAATGGGAAATTAGAGGAGTTAAATGCAAAAGTATATTGGTAATAGCAATTATTAACACATAGTAACTAAGATTGTCAAGCATTAGTGACTATTTTGCCATAATTTTGATTAAAAAAATCGATTTTTTTTTAACAATCCTGGTCTTGGTCTTGTAACAGTTAGGCAGCCTTGGTCAGTTACAGTTACAGCAAAGTGCAAGATCAAGACCGATTTTGGGCAACACTAGTATCGATAGTAAAATGTCTAATATTGGAAGGAAAATATTGATATTTTTATAATATTGAATTCCTAAGCCTATCCCTACCTCAAAGTCGATCCATAGCTGATGAAATATTATCTGATATCAGCAGCATTTCAATCTATCGAAGTTATTCTGCTTCCATAAATTAAATAGTTGCAATAAAATAAGAAAAATATTAATATCAACTTAAACACAGATATATTTATTTTCACTGTTTACAATCAGCAAAGGGAACTCTGATCCAGTATCCCCTTCTTGGAAGGAAATACAAGACTCCAGGTGGTACCAATGCTTCTCTTTCAACCAGATCACTGGTATATAAAACTCAGGGCGTTCTAATCACAGTCGCTCATTGCCTTATAAATAAACGCTCTACTGATCATCACCAGAAGAATCTGACTTTTACCGGAAAATCAAAACTTGTATCTATGAGTTCTCGAGCCCTTTTAAGGGGTTGTTCTACCCCTAAGGCTTATTCTAGTGCATTTAAATTTTGTTTAAGATTCTAGCGGGATAGCTCAGTGGTAGGGTACAGAGCTTCCAATGCTAAAGGTCCCGGGTTCGAATAACGGCTCATGGCTGAAAATTTATTTATCTGTTCCATTGGCCGTGAGCCGACCCTTAATCGGAAGACCCTCCTGGGGCACATCCAGCCTCTATAAAGTCGCTACTCTTAATTAAATAATTGTTTAAGGGGAAAAACTCAATAAACTCAATAAAGTTAGAATCGGTAATAATTTGTCCGAAAAATTTGAGGTTCGTTCGGGCTTAAAACAGGGGGATTCTCTTTCGCCTGTCCTGTTCAATTTGGCATTAGAACATACCATTAGGGAGGTAATGCGAACCGAGAAAGGGTTGGATCTGGGCGGGACAACATCCGTGCTGGGCTTTGCTGATGATCTGGTACTGTTAAGCGAAGACGTTGAAACTATAAAACTAAATACGACAACGTTAATGAAAGCCGGTAAAGAACTAGGACTCGAAATAAACGTGGATAAAACAAAATATATGGTTAGCTGCAAAAATGGCGATACTACTGGTGATATCGATATAGATGGTAATGTGTTTGAACAGGTAGATAAATTTGAGTATCTAGGTTCTACGATAACTAGAAAAAACGAAATTGAAGAAGAAATTAAGGTTAGACTGAAGGCGGGGAATGCTTGTTATTTTTCTATGACAAAACTACTTAGTTCGCGCCTCTTGTCCCGAAACTTAAAAATTAGAATCTATAAAACAATTATCTTGCCTACAGTCCTTTATGGATGCGAAACTTGGCCGCTTACATTAAGGGATGAGCAGCGTCTTAAGGTTTTTGAAAATAAAGCATTGCGTAGAATATTCGGACTGAAGAAGGATGAGTTAACCGGAGAGTTCAGACGGTTACACAACGCCGAATTGCGTGAGCTGTATCCGGGTAATATAATTGAGGTAATTTCATCGCGGCGAATCAAATGGGCTTGTAAAGTTGTTGGACTTAGTAACGAGAGAATTCCTAAAAGGTTAATATTTGCTGTGCCGAATGGTAAGCGTCCGAGGGGTAGACCGAAGCGAAGGTGGGAAGATTGCATTAAAGCCGATCTGAAGGGACTGGTTTTGGACGGCGAACGGTGGAGGGAGGTGTGTAACAAGCGATTGGTGGTGTCGGCATCGAACCTTCGGGTTCGCTAAGCCTTATTATTATTATTAAGGGGAAAAACCTTGAGGTTGATAGTGTTCTCGGTCTAATCACCTCCTTGCACAACCGTAGACCAAGAAACAGTGCTTTCCCTACATAGTACTGATCCCAAGGGCGGATCTACGGGGGAGGCTTCAGCTCGAAAGCCTCCCCCCCCCCCCCAAAATGGTAAAATATAACCATGTTTTATGGAAAAAATATTGTAAAATTATGTCTTAAAGTATTATTGTTCGTGTAATTACATTTAAAAGGACTTAAGGTATCACTTAAACACCATTTCATATAGATCGTTAGTTTCTTTCTTTTTTTTTAAAGTAATTATCGTCATTTTTAAGAAAAAAAAATCTTTCAGGCTGAAGCCCCCCTCAAAAATTAAATCCTGGATCCGCTATTGACTGAACCCAAGACCCTTCATGGGTTGTAGTGGTACAGGTAAGATTCTAGTAAAATGTTTTGTATTGGTTAGGAATAAGAACTAGAACAAATGGAATAATTATGTAGAGTTTTGTTTCTCAAAGAGAACGAAGCATTATTATTCAAAGGACTTTGGAATGAAAGGATTGAATACGGTTGATGTTGAAAATTTTATGTATCCTTTAATCAGCTCCGTAAATCCAAATAGACGCCGTGTTAGAAAGACGAAAAAGAAATAAAGGTGTCCGAGACAAATGATAACGAGTATTATTGAAGATATGGATTAAAATATCTCAGAAACTAAAAATCGGAGCTGCATACTATAAGCGACGGAAAATTTTCAGCATTTCATTCTCTTTGTAATGCTATATTATTCAAAATTTAATCTTAACGCAAAGCTATATTAGAGAAGTAAAAAGGGAATTTTACCTTAGGGGAAATTTTTAGGGAAAAGTTTATCTTCTTTGTAATGATCTATTATTCAAAATGGTATCTTAACACGACATCGTGTTAGAGAGGCGAAATGGAGCGAGGTTTATTGAAGATATTGATTAAAATTTCTCAGAAACTAAAAATCGGAATAAAACCCTGCATACTGTAAGCGATGGAAATTTTCAGCATTTCATTCTCTTTGTAATGCTCTATAATTCAAAATTGAATCTTAACGCAAAGCCATATTAGAGAAGTAAAAAGGGAAAAAAATAGTGTCTAAAACCAAATGATAACCAGTTTTTTTGAACATTCGGATTAAAATATCTTAAAGACTAAATTCGGACCTACATAATGCAAGTGAGGTAAATGTTCAGAATTTTATCTTCTTTGTGATGAGCTATTATTCAAAATGGTATCTTAACGCAAGATCGTGTTAGAGAGGCGAAAAGGGAGCGAGGTTTATTGAAGATATTGATTAAAATATCTCATAAACTAAAAATCGGAACTGCATACTATAAGCGAGGAAAATTTTCAGCATTTCATTCCCTTTGTAATGCTCTGTTATTCAAAATTGAATTTTAACGCGAAGCAATATTGGAAAGGCAAAAAGGGAAAAATATATTCTCTAAAACCAAATGATAACGAGTTTTGTTGAACATTTGTTAAAATATCTCAAAAACTAAATTCGTACCTGCATAATGCAAGTGAGGAAAATGTTCAGAATTTTATCTTCTCTGTGATGAACTATTACTCAAAATAGTATCTTTACGCAAAGCTGTGTTGGAGAGCACAGGCGGATTTAGGGGGGAGAGGGGGCTTTCGGGCTGAAGCCCCCCTCCAAAATAGTAAAATGTAACCATGTTTTATGCTAAAAAATATTAAAAAATTATGTCTTAAAGTATTTTTGCTCGTTTAATTACATTTAATAGGACTTTAAGAATCACATAAACACCATTTCATATAGATAGTTAGTATCTTTCTGTTTTTCTAAAGTAATTATCGTTATATATATGAAAAAAAAAGCTTCCGGGCTGAAGCCCCCCCCCAAAATTAAATCCTGGATCCGCTAGTGTTGGAGAGCGAAAAGGAGAAACGATACTGTGACTGGTGTGCTTAAAGTTGATAAGAGTCGCTATAGCTCGTACAGTATTATTATTGGATAAAACTAACCTGCTGCAAAAGTGTATTCGTTGATCCTGTTGGATCCTCCTGCTCTTCGGCGTGCTTCTTCCTCTATCTGCTTGTGAACTTGATCCATTATCGCGGGGTCCAATTCAGTCTTCACCACCGCGTTGATGTACCTGAGGCCCTCGCCAGTAACCACTGCAGACTGCGGGACCAATACCTGGACAGTATCTTCGTGTCCGGCCTCTTCAGGAGAACTCCTGATGACGGGGATGAATACCCGGTATTGAGGATATTTCTCGAAGTCCGTTTGGTCCTTGGCCGCCTCTATCTGCCAGGACTCAGGTGCACCGGTTATGATCTTCCCTGCTAGTATTGGTTCATCTGAAACGAACATTTTCGTCAGGAATTGAAATATTTAAATGATTTATCTTGTACATGATATTAAATTATTCTACTTTAAAAATAATAATAAAAAATCTGGTGTGTCCACTCACACGACTTTCCTACCTATTTCAGAAAAGTTTTTATATCTTTATATTTCTGGTAGAGCAAAGAAACAGACCATATCGAGAGGGATTGAAAAAGCATTTTCGATTAATTTTATTTGTCACCCCCCTTATCTAGAGTGTTCCTTAAAAAGAAGTTTGAAAAGCATTGTGTTGGGACCAGAGGTATTTTGAAATTAAAATACAATTCTTTCCCCTGGTGCTTTCCTCAAAAGTGGGGAAAATACGAGTAAAACGATTGGAAAGAAGAGAAAAAATGATACCTATAAAAGAAGAAAAAATGCATGCATATCAAATAATAAAAAATAAAAATATTCATTAATCAAAACGAAAAATAAATAAACAATCCCCCTATTGAACGTTTACAATATTTATTGAATAAAAAAAGAGATATAAATATATACAAAAATTAAAAACAAAATAAACTATATTGTAAAAGTTCACTGAAATAAATAAAAAACACAAAATATAATATTTAGTGAAAAAATAAAATTGTCCATCAAAACAAAACATACATACAAAAATATCTGGTGTGTCCACTCACACGACTTTCCTACCTATTTCAGAAAAGTTTTTATATCTTTACATATGTTCATGAAGATAGAGAAAAAATTGAACTAGATTTATTTTTCTGAAAATTGATCAAAGAAAAGATTTTTTTTTTTTTATTTTATTTTATTGAGATTTACAACTGTATTACATGGAAAATACAATAAGCAAATGTGACTTTGGTAACATGACATATAAAACATGAAGAGAAACTATCCATTGGTAGAACTCAAATTAAAGTTCTATATTAGAAGGTCCCGTGGCCATCTTCTATTCAGAAGCCTCGGAGAGTTATCAGGGATCAAGGAGGAAGCAAGGTTTGAAACGAGAGGGTTGGGATGGATCAGAAGTTTATTATGGAAGGATAGATATCTGGATTGAGCCAAATCGGAAACATATGGAACATTAAGATCTTTATGGATGATTTTATTTGTGACAAAGTAAGGAGCGTTGATAGAAAAGATTTGAGTACGATTTATTTGTTAAACTAAAGCAATGTACTTAAGGTAGATCAGTGTAAAAATTTCAATACTCACTAATATTGCTGATCGAAAACTTTTTTCCATAGCTTAGTATTGTTAATCAATAATTTCTGTTAAAAGTAGAGGAAATAGTGAAGCTTGTGTGATGCGGGCAACGGATTTTCTTACTTTCACTTAGTCATCTTTTTTCTCTCATTCACCCCTTTCTGACAACAGAATATGAACCCGTAATCTTACATTGGAAATTTAATAGCAGTAACTTCGTTAATAGTTGTCCAAAATTAACGATTTTTATATAGTTTCACAGGGTGCTCTGAAACGTACAGATCCGTCGAAAACCGCATACCGGAAATTTCATCCGATAAATTTATAGATAAATTTAAAGGGTGTAGAGAAAATGACTTTAGCGAAGTTTCATTGAAATCGGTACATTCGTTTAGGCGCTACAGTCTATAGCAACGCAGGTTTTTCTGCATTCTTGTTCTCCTTTATTAACCTTTTTAAATCGTTAGAGCCGTTTTTGAGAAAAGTGTGAAAATGTCTTTCAGAGTTGATATAAAGTGGCACTTCCGGTTAGCCGACTTTAAGGAAAAAGTTGCCGTCACATCTAAGGCATATACCTATCTTAAATACGTAATATCAGTTCCGTACGACTTTTCGTTTTTGAGCTAGACTGCTAACATACAAACACACAGACACACGGACCATTTTTCGGGACTTGGTCATTTCGACTCAGAGTACCTCAAAACGTCTGTTTTCGTTGAAAACTCAGATTCAAAAATTTTGTCGATCGCAATACTTACACTTACTATATATTACATATATACGTAAGTTAAAGTAAAAAATTGAATTAGATTTATTTTCCTGAAAATTGACCAAAGAAAAGATTTGAGTATGATTTATTTGATAAACTAAATCAATGTAAACAGGCTTAAGGTAGATCAGTGTAAACATTTCAATAACCTCGAATATTGCTGATCAAAACTTTTTGCTATAACCTAATTTTCTCAAACAATAATTACTGTTAAAAGTAGAGGAAATAGTGAAGCTTGAGTGATACGGGCAACAGATTTTCTTACTTTCACTTAGTCATCTTTTTTCTCTCATTTATAACTTTCTTGCACCAGGATAGGAACTCGTTATCTAACATTGGAAATCTAATAACTGTAATTTCGTTAATAGTTGTCCGAAATGAACGATTTTTACATTGTTCATTGTAGAGAATTCATTACCTTTCTGGGGGCTCTGAAACGTATAGATCCGTCGAAAACCGCATATCGGAAATTTGACCCGATCGCAATACTTTCCTTACTAGTATAAGTAGGAAAGTAATAAGTTAAAACATGTGTAAAAAATAGTATAAGCTGTATCATCGTTAATACTGGTCCGATTTCGATGATTTTTCTTTTGTTTTTTTTTTGGTAATTTAATTACCTTTCAAAAGTTTTATTACAAATTTTACCGTGTAATATATACTTAGCGAGTTAGGTCCCACAACATTTTTCTTTTCTTTATAACTTTTTTTTCTGAATTTTCTCGAGAATTTAGTCTATGTACGAAAATTGAAAGGACAATTATTACAACATTGTAGGAAAGTTTCATAAAAATCGTTAGAGCAGTTTTCGCTCTACAGTCTATAGAAAAACATATTTTTCATTTATTGCGCGCAAGCTATTGCGCGTGGAGCACCGAATTTCTGTCACAGGCATCATTAGTCAAAATCCTACAAAACAGAAAAAGAAGTAACAAAATCGGTTCAGTAGTTCCCAAGAAAATCTTGGCACAGACAGACAGACCAATGGCTAAAAATGTGTTTTTCGGACTTAATGGGCGCTCTGAAACGTATAGATCCGTCGAAAACCGTGTATCGAAAATTTGATCCGATTGCAATACTTTCCTTACATAGTATAAGCAGGAAAGTAAAAACAAGTCAAAAAAATTCGATCAAATTGAATAAACATTCCTGTCACTCTATTTTGAATATATTGTACATTTGCTCATTCATCTTTTTTACATTAACTTTTTATTCTCTTATACGTAGTCAATATTTTCGATAGTTTTTACAATACCTTAATTTCCTATTTATATATATTATTTCCTTATATAACTTTATATTTCTTTTCTCTGTTTTATATTTTATTCTAAGAATACCATTTTTAATTTCTAACGTTACCTTATTTTGATTATGTTTATTTCATTGGTCCGTGTTTTTTTGTTGTTATTATTATTTATTTCTTAGTTCTATGTTACTGTTATTATTCTACCTAGTATCTTACTTCAATGTTCACTCTATATACTTCATTTTACTTTAAGTTTTTCTACCTACATTTTTAGTCTATACCATTCATCTCTTTTACTTTCCTACCTATACTAGGCAAGGAAATTATTGCGATCGCGTAAAATTTCCAATATGCGGTTTTGACGGATATATACGTTGCAGAGACCCCCTGGTCCGTAAAAGACATTTTTTAGCCATTGGTCTGTCTGTCTGCCTGTGCCAAGATTTTCTCGGGAACTACTGAACCGATTTTGTTCCTTTTTTTATCTATTTTGTAGGGTTTTGACTACTAATGTATGTGATACAAATTGGGTACTCCATGCGCAATAGCTGCTGCGCAAAAAAAAAAAACTGTTTTTCTATAGACGATTTTTATGAAACTTTCCTATCATGTTCTAATGATTGTCCTTTCAATTTTCGTACGGGGAATGAATTCCCGAAAAAATTCAGGAAAAAAATTATAAAGAAAAGAAAAATGTTTTGGGGCCTTACTCGCTAAGTATATATTCTACGATAAAATTTATAATAAAGCTTTTGAAAGGTAATTAAATTAAAAACAAAACAAACATCATCGGAATCGAACCAGTATTAGCGAAGATACAGCTTATTATATTTTTTACTCTTGTTTTAATTTATTAGTTTTCTACCTGTACTAGGTAAGGAAAATATTGCGATCGGGTCAAATTTCCGATATGCGGTTTTCAACGGATCTATACGTTTCAGGGCCCCCAGAAAGGTAATGAATTTTCTACAATGAACTATGTAAAAATCGTTCATTTTGGACAACTATTAACGAAATTACAGCTATTCGATTTCCAACGTTTGATAACGAGTTCCTATCCTGGTGTAAGAAAGGGATGAATGAGAGAAAAAAAATCACTAAGTGAAAGTAAGAAAATCTGTTGCCCGCATCACACAAGCTTTTCTATTTCCTCTTCATTTAACAGAAATTATTGTTTGACAATACTAAGCTATGGCAAAAGGTTTTTTAATCAGCAATATTAGAGAGAATTTAAATTGTTACACTGATCTACTTTAAGCCTGTTTACATTGCTTTAGGTTATCAAATAAATCATACTCAAATCTTTTCTTTGATCAATTTTCAGGAAAATAAATCTAGTTCAATTTTTTACTTTCACTTACGCATATATGTAATATATAGTAAGTATAAGTATTGTGATCGAGAAATTTTTGAATCTGAGTTTTCAACGGAAACAGACGTTTTGAGGTACTCTGAGTCGAAATGACCAAGTCTCGAAAAATGGTCTGTGTGTTTGTATGTTAGCATTCTAGCTCAAAAACGAAAAGTCGTACGAAACTGATATTACGTATTTAAGATAGGTATATGCCTTAGATGTGACGGCAACTTTTTCCTTAAAATCGGCTTGCCGGAAGTGCCACTTTATATCAACGCTGAAAGAAATGTTCACAATTTTCTCAAAAACGGCTCTAACGATTTTGATTAAACTCTGTGTATCATTGTATAATTAAGTGGTATTTAATATCAATCAGGTCTTATCCCCATTGATGTCACTTTACAGGACTTAAATGCCCAATGTTCATATACGTCTTCCTCTAAAGTACCTTAAATATGGTTTATTTTAAAAAGTTAATCATTTCATATTATTCAAAGTAATGAAAAAATGCTAAATATATTTTTTGAAAGAATTTGATAAGTTAATAAAGGAGAAAAAAAAAATGCCCAAAAACCTGTGTTGTTATAGATTGTCGCGCCTAAACGGATGCACCGATTTCAATGAAACTTCGCTAAAGCCATTTTCTCTACAACCTTTAAATTTATCTATATAACATACTTCAACGAAAAGAAGCTGGAAAAAAGGTTACTAGCGATGGTAAAATTAAATTCCGAATAACTCAAAAAGTATACACTTTTTTGGGGATGTTGTGATAACATGTTTTTAAAATGGTTTTTTAAAAGTTTATGGAATTTCCTAAAAAAAAAAAAAAATCGTTAAGATCGGACAACTAGGAGGAAAGATATGGTCTCTAGTTTTTCTCCTTGAAGAGGCGAAAATTTGGATAAATTTAAAATATACTGTTTTAATTTTTGAGACTAAAAAAACTTATTTATAATAATAAATTTATATTAGCCCAGCATTGCCAGAAAATAATTTCTATTCATAGTAGATCGGTAAGTGAAAGTTGTGTGTTGCGCGCACCAGATTTTTTCGTTTCATGATGGACATTCGTAAAGATATGAAAACGTTTTTGAAATAGGTAGGAAAGTCGTGTTATTCAATGTATATAGTTTCTTATACCTATTGTTATCTGATTGTTTCCTTAGTCCTGATGAAGGCCTGAACTCGGGCCCAAACGTCGGCGAAAGTGAATATAAATAGAATTATTTATTTTTACTATCTATAAATTTATTGTTCCTGTAATTACATTTAATAGGACTTCAAGAACCATTTAAACCTATTTCATGTAGGTAGTTAGTTTCTTTCTTTTTTCCAAAAGTAATAATCGCTATACATCTCTCTCTCTCTCTCTCTCTCTTTCTCTCTCTCTCTCTCTATATATATATATATATAAAACCTTTCAGGCTGAATCCCCCCCCCACCCAAAAAAAAATAATCCTGGATCCGTTAATGTAAGATAATCCGGTAAAAATAAATGTATGCGGGTTTAACACATTGTGTTTGCCAGTGCCAATATATTTAAAATCGCCCTTAATGTTGTCCCTTGAGGGGAGAAATCTTCAAGGAGACGTTTTACTTTTGTAGTACCGAATTTTCGTTAATTTTACAATGGCAATACCATGGAAAATAAAAGCTTCTACTACATCTTTGTACTCACCACCATCCTGCCCCAAAGTGCATTTCCCTTGATCGAATTCCAGGTCTGGAAAATCCAGGAACTTGGCCTTGACAACAAGAGGGCCATATGGTTCGAGGAGGTAGCTCGGAACTCTGGATTCCTGGATGGCAATATTGTCCACCAAGACCTCGAGGAGATACAGTTGCTCTTGGTGCTCCAGACCCTCATCCATCTGCAAGAATCCATCTGCTTGTTTCATCTTTCTTTTTTGTTAGTAATTTTTCGAAAAAAACTCCTACTAATTTCCAGCATTGAGCTGTCAACAAATTTTAGAGTGCCTAAAATAGTTATGTGTATTATTTTTTTTATAAATATTAAATTATTACTATTGAATTGTATATCGTGCCATGTGATAGTTTTCCTCATTTTACATATGTGTATGAAATATTAATTTTTAGTTTAGTTCGTTCCTTCAAGAACATTATTTGTGGCTTAGGAAGGAGGAATTCTGTAGACACAAATGCGATTCGATAATACTTGTTTATATTGCAATTTTGAAGTTTCTAGTGTCAGTTTTAATAAAACCACTAAAATATTTATACATTTAATTATTCAACCAATTCAAAAACGCTGCAAATTATTCCACAATGGTTTATTATTTCCAGACAATTATACATCTAAAGTAACATTAACTTCATAGTTACAAAGAAAAATAAATAAAAGGTGATTCCAATTATTGAACTAAACTTTTATTTTAATCATTGGTAATATGCTAACAAAAATTAGCATTACTTCAGTTACACATTCAAAAATAAAAACCAAAACCATAAAAACTTTGAATTCTGATTTTATATCTAAATTAGGAAAAAATCGGTCCAGTAGTTTCGGAGAAAATGTGCGAACGAACGAAAAAATTTTTATTCGTTTTTGAATTCTACTTATCCTGAACCGTGAAACCTCAATTTTTGATAGAGGATTAAGTTTTTGAATTTTTTGGTCGATCACAATGGTTGATTATTGAAAACAATAAACCTAAATGAATCCATCTAGTAAAATGATTAAATGGTTACTATTTATGTGGTCTCATAATTAATGACGGATTAGAGACCATATTTATAAAATGACGTAATTTTGAAAATGTCTAAATAGTCAGCATATAAATCTGTTACTAGGAATCGCAATTTGCTGGTGGAAAAGATTTTTATTATTCAAAAGCATCAATTCGTTCTTTAGATTTATTTCTTATATTATTTTTATATTAAATTTGCCACTGTGTTGTAACGCAACAAGCAAATGTGTTGCCGTTTATTATTTCTTCCTTTATTCGTGAAACCTGTTTACATTGTCAGCAAGAGATCTCTAGGCCACTGCCTTTTTAGGCTTATGATTGATAGTAGAATAATGGAATGTTACGTACTTGTTATGTATATAGGATTTTACTTTTGGATTGTATGGTTTGAATTTTGTTTATGTGGAGGTGCTTTGCGGTACCCCAAAGTTCTGCTCCATATGTCCAAATAGATCTTAGTATGGTGGTGTCGATTAGTCGTTTGTCTTGTAAGTTGAGTGGAGATCTGTAATCCAAATTCTGTTGTATATTTTCGTCCATTCTGTTTTATTATTATATAGCTACAGATGATCAATAATAAAAATTCCACAATGATTCCAAAATAATGTGCCTCGCAGTGAAATTGACACACCCCATCGAAAAAACAAATGGTTACAGTAAACAAACTCTTCAACACATTTATTTATAATCTCAATTTAAATAGGTAGAAACTCAATAAAATTAAAATATTCTACTATGGTTATTTAAAAAAAAATAACAAAAAAAAAAGTAAACATTTTACCTCATAGTTAAAATCATAAACACCTCACTTCTTATTAACTTTTAAATATTATTAATTCAATTTAATATCCTGTAGGCAAGCCATCATTTTGTACCAAATTATTTTTTTTCTAATTTTTCAATGACTGTTTGTAATGGAATCGACCAAATTTTTGGTGAATTCTGGGATTAGTCTGTATCTTCGAGAAGTTATATTTTAAAGTCTTCTTTGCTAGAAATATCGCGATTTATAATTTCTACCTCCAATTGTCCCTACAGGTATTCTATGATATAGAAATCTGGTGACTGCGGTGGATTTGTTATAACTTAAAAGTTGTTATAATGTAGCCATTGCTTACCTAACGTAGCAGGGTGTTTGGAATTTTTATCCTGATAAAAACCTAATTTTTTTTTTTCCGTACTTCCTCCAGATTTTCCGTACTTTCAAAGTAAGTTACTTCTCACAGTGTGTATGTGTGTGTATGTTTATTCCCTATACCATCTATAAGATGAAGATTTCATACACCATAAACAGCCATACACCCCCACATCAAGAACATAAACCTGTACAAACTTAATTTGAAATTTCTTAGTTTTCTCCAGATTTCAAAACTTATCAAAGAGAGAAGAAAGCTATGTTTGCGCCTGTTATAGGGTGATATATTTCTTTAGTCATTAATTTAGTTTACAGTAGAACTGAGGTGTTTGAATTTCCATACTTTTGGGTAAGATTTTCCTTCTCCGCAAATTTTATTATAACGGTGGGATTTTCGGCTTGTTATCGTATATTTTGTTTTATCTTCATTTACAAGTAGGCCAATCGATCTCTTATCAGTCTTAGCGAGTCCCTCAATGTCCTCTTGATTGCTTCCAAGGTCAGTTAAACTGTTTTGTTTTTGTTTTTTTAATGAAAAAATAATTTTATAGTGAGACTACTGTCCCCTAAGAATAATAACAGAGTTACAAATTTATGGGTCTTATTCTGGCTTAGAATAATAAAAAATACAAACTAATTAACTGTTGATTGTTATTGTAATTATGCAGGAGATTGAAATTAAACAGTGTACAGATGCAAGTAATTTTACATGTTTGTGGAAGTTTGAATGTGGATTAGGTGGTGGAACAGGAGATGTTTGAAGGAATTTGTGGAGGAAGATTGATGTATGGAAATAGGAAGAGACTTCCAAACCGAGATAGCACGAATGACAAAGGATTTGCTGAAGGAAGTAGTTTTATGGGAGGGAATATATAAATCTATAGGTTGAGACCTGGTATTAAGAGAGTGGATAGAGGAATGAAGAGTAAGGAATTCCAGGATGTAGGGAGGGTTTTTGGTTCTGAGGAATTGGAAAAAGAAAACACCAAGGAGGAATTGTCGTCGGGAAGCAGGATAAAGCCACTTCAACTCGGTTTACCTGAATGAAACATGCGAACGCTTGTGGATCCCGAAGGTGTATCTTATCAAACAGTTCATGAGTTTCTACAGTCTCATTTCTAACCTGGCAGATATCCCTCCATACACCAAACAACCGTAGTCGAAGTTAGGGAATATAATGGAGATTACAAGGAGCTGTCTGGTTTTTAGAGGAATATAATCACGGAATCTTAGGAGTTGTGGATAGTTATGGATTTTTGGGTAATCTGGGAGATTTATTAGATGTGGGAGAGGGTTATTGCAGGAGAAGTTCTGGTCAAAGGTTACTCCTATGTGTTTGACTGTAGGGGAAAAATGGATGGGACAGTTATTGAGTTAAGGTATTTTATACATAACTATTTGGAAATAATTCACCATGAGGTCATAATATTTATCTTTTATAATTTTCACAAATATTTATATGAAATAAAATAAAAATTGAGCCAAGAAAATCATGCATCTCTCAGCCTCATGGCTCCATTCTTCCCACATTCCTACGTTCGTGCTCTGATGTATATTATTGGATTGGCAAATAAGTCCTTTCGGTTTTTCAGGATGAAATAAAACTCAATGCACCATAGGCATAAAATTTATTTTAATCTACAGTATATTGACCATCATCTAATATGACTTTTTCCCATCTTTCCACTAACTGCGTAATGTCATGTTCATAGAATGTCTGGAGTTTATTGTAGAAAAACTGATCCAAGTGGTTTTTGATGTCTTCCTTTTGAAATTTCTTTCCATTCGTGGATATCTACAGAGACCGGAATGAGTGGTAGTCACTTGGAGCTAGATCTGGTGAATAGGGAAGGTAGGACAAAAGGTCCTATCAAAGGCTCAATAATTAATTGCGAGTGACCAAGAGGTGTAGGACCTAGGGTTGTCTAGGTGAAACACAAAACGATTTCGATCATTTATAACTCTTCGAGATGTTCTCCAAATACGATGTTACTATATTCGTTGAAAAGCTGAACCATTGCTATCCAATGCTGTAGGAATGTTTTTTTTTTTTTTATTTAATGCAGGAATAAATAAACAAAAACTCCTTATAGGTTTTTATTTTTTATCTCCATTTGTAGTTTGTTTAGGTAATGTTGATGTCATTTCGTGTATTTTATATGGTCCTTAATTCCTGCTAAATTTTTTGTAGATAGCTAAAGTCGTATTGAAGTTATAACATTTTTTGTGATTTTCGAGAAAAATAATTAAGTGAGGGACTCAGACATAAAGCCAGGAAACATAGCCGAGCTTGTGCAAATGGTTTTCTACGCTTGTGCGGGACAAATAGCAATAGAAATCTCTCGCACAGATTGAGTGGGATTTTCATCAAAAATGGCCTTAACATTGCTTATTTCAATTTCATGTGGGCGACCAGATCGTTGAGCATCATTGATGTCAAAATTTCCTGAATGAAATTTGGCAAACCAATTTTCAAATTCAAAATATTCCGATAATGAATAATATTTTCATCCATATTCACAGTGCAATAGCAAACACAGTACTAAGCTTTTTTTTTTTTTTTATTGAAAATTAATACATTCTGCAGCATTGGAGACCATTAATAGTAGGGCTACATTGAACATTCATACAATATATATATATACATACAAATGATAACTAAAATAGAGATAAAAGGAAAAGAGTTGTGTAAAGTAAAATAAGAAAATTAACATACATAGGTAAAAAAAAAAAAAAAAAAAATAGAGAGAAGCTAAATGAAATTTAAATATATAAAACACATTCACACCTATATACAATATTTACATTCGCCCAGAGGATTCTGAGTCATGCTTCGTCCCCCAAATGTGGAAACCAAGGCAGGACACCAGGAGATCCCAGTGCTTCTATCCCAGCCGCGTCACTGGTATTGCAAGCCAGTGGAGACTGATGGAGGGCAGTAGAGCAACAGACGCTCAGGACTTGAGTGGAGAATCTGGCCATTGCCAGTACTCCAATATATACATATTTACAAAAGGTCGCGAGGCCACTGCCGTTTTAACCTCCGGGGATGATTATAGGGATGGCTGGAGATAGATAGGGATTGTGCTACAGGATCTGGATGATGAGTAAGTTTCTGGTGAAATTTGGAAAATTTGTCTGGGATTAGGTCAAGAACAAATGGGATATGAAGGTCATTATGGAGGGTTTTGTTGGATACATAGAAGGGAGCATCGACTATTGTTCGGAGGACTTTAGACTGAAAGGATTGAATGCTCTTAACGTTAGAAGGTTTTTTTGACCCCCACAGTTCTAGTCCGTAGGTCTAGATAGGTTTCAGGATTGTCTTGTAGATTAGTAGTTTGTTGTCGACTGAAAGTTGAGATTTTCTATTCATTAGTCTGTATAGCTGTCCGAATCGTCTGTTTAGTTGTTGTCTTTTAAATCTGGTATGTGGGTTCCACGTTAGTCTTTTATCTAGAAGAAAGCCAAGATCTCAGACCGTGTCTGAGAGAGGAAGTGGTATGGATTTCAAATCCATATCAGACTTCAAGTAGACTGGTGGACAGGACTCGCGCCGAAGGGTAAAAGTGATGTGTTTGGATTTGGATTCATTTACTTGGATGCGCCACTTATTACACCAATGTTCAATAAGAGAAAGGTGACTTTGTAGGTTTGAAGGTAAAGGTGAATCTGGTTTAGGATCTGGATTACCACTATAAGCAAGTTTAAAAAAAAAAACAGGATAGAAAATCAACCTTAGGGATTAATTCATCAGATAAGAAGTGTATCATAGTGACATGAAAACAAACAGAAAAAACCGAAAGGACTTATTTGCCAAGCTAATACTTTACTGGTACTAATTTGTTTTAAAAAAATAATTTGTTTTCCATGCAGGATTCGCGTTCGCTAACGTCGAGTCGGCCGCCGAATTCGAGGAGCAGAGAAGCCGGTTCTTCGCCGAGCAGGAGCGCTACGACGACTACATGGAGATGAGGGAGGGTCTGGACCTGACGAACGTGCCTGGGTTCAAAGAGCACGTCATAGCCCTCAAGGACCCGGACAGGATGCCGTGGTACGCCAGACAGACCGTCTTCTGGATATCTTCCTTCCTCCTCCTCTCTTGGCCGCTGCGCCTCTTGCTCGAGTACAACACAGCCTACCTCCATTACCAGGTAACCTTTTCCTCTCGTATATGTTATAACTTCAAATTTTCACCCAGTTTGTGACTAAATAGACTGTTTCTGCTTCCTCTCTTAAGGCGTTTACACATTCGTAGAAATAGCTAGGCGATATGTTAACGTGATTGGTTGTGCCAGGGAAGGTAAGGAAGGTTAAAATTTTCCCGCGTTACGGAGAGTTGTGGGGGCAGATCTAAAAGATAACACTTAAGCCTTGTGAGCAACTGGTTGTCTCGGCGCACTTCTAGCTCTGGAGGCCAGATTTTTGGGCCCAAAAATCGACCTGATCGCAGGAGAAGGTTTTGTTGTAAATTACGAAAGTATATGTTATTCTGAGTTAAAAAAACCTTGTCTGCCGTTGCGGAGCCGCTGCTTTAAAAAATGGCGGCTGTTTTAAACAATATTAGGCCAATAATTTGAGGATCGAAAAAAAAATTAATTAATGAGATAAGAGAAATCCATTGCGAAAACTGTGAGAAAAGTTTCTATTTTTTTAACTTGTATATATGGGTTCAGACTTGTAATAAACAAAATTGCTAACGCAGGCCTTCAAAGCGAAAAATGTATTCTTTAATCAATTAAAGAACGTTGAATTATGCGTCAAACGAGTCCATAAACTTTAAAATTTGGTTACACGGTAAGGTATAAAACCACGGTCAACCAACGCTGAATTTTACCAAATTTGCCCAAAACTGAGACAAATTACTATATATCGCACTGTAACTTGGAAATGAGTTCTCTAAGATGGAAAACCCATAGAATCAAAGTTGTAGAGCATCAAATTTTGCATATACTCAGTATCAACTAATTTAATGGAGGTCACTTGCTGCGAATAAAATCGGTAATCTCCCGATGGTTAAAAATTGTAATTAAGGTAAACGTGATTTTCAATATTTCAACAGTATATGTGTCTATTCTACTGAGTCTGTTACAAAGTCTGTTACATGCTGTTTAAGCCTCTTTTCTACCTCTCAACAGCAAAAGATTTTGGTAAACGATGTGCCGAAAGATACCGAATTTTATAAAGGAATAACGAATCCCGATTCGAGATATATAATTGGCCTACAATAAAAATTTCAGTACTCAGTATACGCAAAATTTGATACTCTACAACTTTGATTCTATGGGTTTTTCCTTTTAGGGAACTCATTTCCAAGTTAAAGGGCCATTTATAGTAATTTGTCTCAGTTTTTGACAAATTTGATAATACTTAACGTTGGTTGACAGTGGTTTTATACCTTACCGCGTAACCAAATTTTAAAGTTTATGTACTCATTTGACGCAAAATTTAACGTTCTTTAATTTATTATAGAATACATTTTTCTCTTTGATGCATTTTTTATAGGTTAAAAAATTAGTTATAGGTGAAAAACCCAAAAAATATCGAAAAAATCTGGCTTTTTGACTGTTCTCACATTTTTCGCAATGAATTTCCCGTTTCGATCCTCAAATTATTGGCCTAGTATTCTTTAAATCAACGACCATTTCTGAAAGCAGCGGCTCTGGAACTGCAGACAAGGTTTTTTTACTCAGAATAACATACACTTGAGTAATTTACGATCAAATCTTCGCCTGCGATCAAGTCGATTTTTGGGTCCAGGTTCCAAGGCTATTCTTGACCAGCATTCACCCAGCAAGCACCAAAAATCACGGCGGAGGGCCCTCCAGGTAAAAAATATGTAGGCTGGCATGTAGACGGTGAGCTATTTTTTGCACAATCATTAACCTACCAATCCCTTGAGACACAGTCCACTGCTTTAAAGTTATTAAAGTTATGGAGAGTTATTTCTCCATAATTGGAAAAGTTGCCTAAAAGGTGGTATCTAAGTAAGGCGTGGAAGCTTTTATTCAAGCAGAAAGAGAAAATTCTGACTGTGTGGAGACACCGCAAGCTTTTCCAATAAATTAACACTATTGGAGCATACCACGACTATCTTGGGCCATAAAGGAATACATTTAGTTCCGTTACTCTTTATCTGCATCCAAACTCACGTAACAGGCCTAATGTTGCCCAAAATCGGTCTTAATCTTAATCACATTCCAAGACTAAAACCAAGACTGCTTAATTATTGCAAGACCAACATCAAGACTACCTAGTTGTGCAAGACCAAAACTGCACGTGCTAAAAAAAGCCTTTTTTGTGAAAAAAAAATTAAGGTAAAATAACTAGTAACTACTAATAGTCCGTGGTGCAGGCTATTTTTTTATCGAAGTATTAACATCCGCCTGAAACATCGTAACCTACAACTATTTTATTTACGAAATCTCTTTATTCTTCTATTTAATTAGGTACTAAAAACTCGTAAATGCACATTTGCGTTCTACTTTGATCGTAAGATAATTTAATCACAAAATCGAAAAAAAAAAAAATGGCCTACAAATATATTGGGCCGTTTGTCCTATATAACCTCGTTATTTTGAAATTTTGGTTGTGTAGGTCAAGCCAAACGGCTCAATATTTTTTAAGGTCACCTTTTTTCTCGCTTTTGTGATAAAATACGATCCAAGAAGAAAGCAAATGTATATTTACGAATTTTTAGTAGCTAATTAAATAGACAAAGTTTGCCCCCTTCAGATTGAAAACGCCCAAATTTTAAGAGTTTTTGTAAATAAAATAGTTGTAGGTCACGATGAGATGAAACTATTTACGAAGTTTCAGGCGGATGTTAATAATTCGATATTGCACTACGTACTATAATACTAGACAATTTTAGTTACTGTATGCAAAGAATTATTAGAATCAATATACTTCTTATTTTTCTTCCTCCTCAGTGTCTCTATCCAATCTTTCAATCTGTCCAGGTCCCTTGCCAATGCCCTGATGTAATCCAACAGCTTTCCTCTTTCCTCTCCTAGTCTACCAACATTATCCAGCCACGTCATCCTTGGTCTACCTCTTGGTCTTTTGCCAGTTGGTCTAGCTTCGAAGAATTTGCGTGGTCCACGGTCTTCATCCTTTCGGCATATATGTCCAAACCACTTCAACTGCCTCTTCTCAAGAATTTCAGTTAGTGGTTTCATCCCTAGTTCCTCTCTTTCTTCTACCTTTCCTGTGTTCTGGCTACTTTCCTGAGGTATTTTATTTCTGAGGCGGTGATTCTGTTCCTTAATTTATCGAGAACGACCCAGTATAGTAGGGTGGAAAGGTAAATAGCATTAAAAATGTTAATTTTTTACTTTTTTCTCAACTTCACGTTTCCCAACAGCAGTATTGCAGATTTGGTAATAAATGTTGTTTGCCTTTTTAATCGCACAGATATTTCTTGTTGAACTTTACCATCCCTGCTAACAACTAGCGTAATCTGTACGTGTAATCTTCACACGTATAATCAATATTTCGCATTTAATTCTTACAAGTAAACATATTAATTTACACATGAATATATATGAGTGCATATATTATTAATATATGTGTGATATAATATTTATATAATAATATTCAAATGAAGGTGTCAGATCTGAAATACGAAATTTTGTTTTACATGTATTCGAAAGATTAATTGCTTAGTAGGTGGAAGAATTGTTGGTTAAATGTGGTTAAGAAAGAGGATTTGAGTAATGAAATCCAGAAAAAGGTAGCACGCATGACAAAGGATTTTTTAAAGGAAACGGTTCTATCAGAGGGGACAAATATGTTTATAGATTGAGATCTCGTGTTAAAGGAATGGACAGAGGAACAAGGAGTAAAATAATCAATGAGGTAAGATGGCTTTCTGACTGAAAAGGTTCGGAAAAGGGGAAAACCTAAGAAATATTGCCGTCGGAAAACTGGATAGAGCCACTTCAACTCGGCATAGCAACTGGAGACGTGGAAACGCCTGGAGACTCCAAAGATGAATTGAATGAAACAATTCATTAATCTCTTCATAATTGGTAATTGGTTGACTGTCGTGGATAATGAAGAGAAGAATAGTTGGGGTGGTCAGTCAAAAAGGAATGTTATTTCAGCATTCTCAATTTCTTCCCTCCTCCCTTTCATTCCTTTTCTCTCTTTTTAACTCTTTATTATATTATACATTGTCTGTACATCTTGATAGATTTTACAATATCTCAATTTTCTATCTAACTACTCCATTCTCAATGTCTTAATTTTACTATTTATTTTCATTTCTTATATAACTTGATATTTCTTTTTTATGTTTTACATTTTATTCTAAGATTCCCATTGTAACACTTATGTCACTCTTTTTGATTATGCCTACTTCATCATTCCACACTTTGTAACGGTTATTATTATTTATCTCTTAGTTCTTAGTCATTATTCTAACAATTTCATTTTACTTTATATTTATTTATTTTATTTTTTATTATTTTTTTTTATTTATTTTTTTTAACCATCACTAGTTGTTTCTCATACCTTGTTATCTGGTTATTTTCTTAGCCCTGATGAAGGCCTGAACTTCAGGTCGAAACGTCGGCATATGTAAAAATAAATATTATCATTTATTTTTGCCTTCCTTTTTGACTGACCATCCCAACTATTCTTCTCTTCATTAATCTCTCCAATCTGACCTCAAACCTACCAGAGAGTCCGCCGTATACAATGCAGCCATAATACTTTACAAACATTCATTTAAAGAAGCTAATAAAATACATTTTAAAGTCAATATTTGTATTCAGATTAGTGTTGCCCAAATGCGAGACGAGTCTTGGTCTTGCAAACTCAGTCTTCGTCTTGTGCAAGAGTCTCGCAACGGTCTTGCATTTATTTATTAGCTTAATACTATAGATTTATTACTGTATTTTTTTTAGATAGGGGAAACCTAAGTAAGCCTGAATGAAAAATTATAAGAGTTAAATGAAAAAGTATATTGGTTATACCAATTCTTTACATATAGTATCTAAAATAGTCAAGCATTAGTAACTATTTTGCCTTAATTTTTAGTCAAAAAATCGATTATTTTTTTTTTGCCAGCCTTATTCTTGGTCTTGCAGCAGTTAGGCGGCTTTAGTCTTGGTCAAGACTGATTTTGGCAACACTAATTCAGATACGA